TATAATTATTAATTAATTTAAATATTTTTATTTAATTTGATTAATTAAATTATTAATTAATTTTATTAAATAATAATATTTAAGTCGATTAACAATTCTCTTGTTGTCTGATTTTATCTTGAGACTATTTTGCTCTCATATTTTGAGCGCACTAACAACTAACTTTCTGTTAACATTTACAACTTAGGATTGGAGTCGTCGTGCTCTATTTAGTCGTCCCGTCGTGGACATTCCCCGTGTTTACCTTTGCAACTTAGGCTTGGAGTCGCCGTGCTCTATTTAGTTGTCCCGCCGTGGATATTCCCTTCTTTGCTAACTTAACTTAGTTTAGAGTCACCGCACTCTATGTAGGTGTCTCGCCGCAGACATTTACTTTCCCTTTGGAACCTTGACCACAATCAAAAGTTCCTTCCCCCTTAGTTAGGGGAACTACGAACGCTCTGATTTCTCAAAGTACCTTTTGAGAATACGTAGGCACAAGGCCCCGATCCTTGGCGAGCGACCTTTTCTTTTTTTTCTTTGTTTCAACCTTTATATCTTTACCCTTAGCACTTTTCCTTTAGTAAGCAAACTTTAGCAAACACAAATATTAACAAGAGGTTCCTGTAGATTACTACAGATGTTTAGGATGTGAAATACCTACCCTAGGCATAACCAACCCCCGAACCTTTAGATCTCTCTTTGCTTAGCTTTAAGCCTTGTTTTTTGCTAGCATTTTTATAGGTTTTTCTTTCTTTAAACCTTTCCTTTTTGGACAAATTAAAGTTCGGTTGTGAATTTAAGAATTAAATATTCAAGTTATTCAATAGCTTCGTATCACGATTCTCACCGTAACACATCCGATAGGGGTTGAAGACAGGAACTGAGAGTCTTGAGGTAGACCCTTGCACCTGACCATTGTTATTGACAACAGCGACTTGACGCAGTTCTTCTTCCTTTCTGGCCATAGTTATGGCTTCGAGGATCTGGTCAATCTTTCCTTTGAGGAAATCCAGCTCTTCTCTGAAGGAAACTTACCCTTGCTAAATCTGCTCCATCATGCGTCTTGTGTTGGCTCTAGTTGCGTAATGGTGTCGAGCAATCAACTTGATTTACTAGAAAGGAAGGAAGGAGAAATGAAATTCTACTGAAGGAATGAAAATGCAAGATGCACAACAGATGCAATGCAATGCAAATGATATGCAATGCAAGATGCAAGATCTAGGATCCCAGTATCACAAGTTCAAACAGTTCTGAGGTTGGCCGGATGAACGGGTCAAGAACCACAGTCACTGCTCAAAGAAACCCCACAGGTAGGATCCTAAAACGGGTAAGTGCCTAGAGTCATAGATATCTTTCAAAGATATTATAGCCATGAAAAAGCCTCATCACGACAATAATATCCTCGAAAGAATCTCCTCTAGGTAAGGTTTTCATATCTTCTACACGAGAAAGACTCCTCGGAGGCGTCAACTACATAACCATCGACACATAGGTTCTAAAACATATTCTGAGAGTCATAGATCGAGGTTGAAAATAATACTGTCAGGAAGTAATACGTTCAAAGGATATCATCTGATTTGGATGTTCGTATTAATCCAAAAGGAGTTAACACTACCAACCACCATGGATAAAACAGGTTAATGGTCCTTGAGATTAACGATTCAGGCTCGAAAACGTTATTGTTATGGCAAAGACTCACCACAACAATAACATTCCCAAGGGAATCTACTCCAAGCAGGGTTTTCGCTTCGAATTTACATGGAAGAACCCACACAAGTCTCCACTACACAACTACCATCCTAATCCTAGAGTTTTACCCAACCTCGGGTATAGAGTCATCTCACAAAGTACCCATAAGCTGAGGAACCCAACATTGTAACAATAATCAAAAGCAACAAAGATAAGGATATGAGAGCAAATAAATAAGCGAGAAGAAATAAATAAGCAAAACTAACAAGCTCACAATTAGAACTAAGATAGGTTCGACTCTCTCTTGCATGGAGCAATAGTTCCCCAACAGAGTCGCCAGCTATCGCACCTCGAAAATTCGTCGAGAAATGACCTTCGCGCTAAAGGCGCAGAAATGCGGTTCGACAGAGTCGCCACTGAACTTTATTTATCCCGAAGAGAAGGGAAAGGAAAATATCGAGAAAACCTTTTAAAAAGAAATGACAGGAACACGTACGTCACAACCGATGTTCCAAGTTTAGGAGTCGGTTACAAGGGGAAGATATTAGCACCCCTCATGTCTGTTGTAGTCAACATGAACCTCTTAGTACGAATTGTGATGAATATTAGCTAAGCTTATTTGTTTTCTTCTCAATAATAAATGTGAAACGATACGATAAAGGGATAACGGTGCTGGGGGAAAAAGGTGGTTTAAAAATATGGTGCTCGCCAAGGATTAGGGTCCTTGTACCTACGTATGCTCATTCGGACGAGAATGAGAAATCTGAGCTCTCGTAGTTCGACTACGGGAAAAGATAGGGGAAACGAAAGATGGAGGGAATTGTGAAATAGCGTAGAAAAATAGAAGTTTGAAAAGGTGGAAAAAGAAAAAGGTAGCTCGCCAAGATCATCACAATCTTGTGCTTACATATCTTACATTCAGACGAGAATGAAGAATCAGAGCGTCCGTAGTTCGTGGTGACGACCACGAAAAGAGAGGGGTTGAATCAGTTTAAAGTTAGGTACGGATGAAGATTACTTGAAGCTTAAGAAAGGCTCCTCGGGCCTAAGAAACCGGGAGAGTGAGTCAAAGACTTGACTCTCTCTCTTTTTCATCTAGAAAGAATTTGTGTTTGGATGGTGTTTTGAGTGATGAGTGGTTGGAAGATGGTTTAATGTTGTCGAGTTGAGATGTTTTAGAGGCGTCAATTGCTCACACACGAGTAAGATAACTCGCATCCAAACAACTGAAGGGTGATCAAAGGCTCAATCCCCCTCTTTTCACCTTGAAAAGAATTAAATAGTTGTTAATTATTTTTGATAGTTTATTGAGAAAATCCGCTTGATGTTGGATCAAGGGTTTGACATATATTTTCTTGCAAAACCGTGGTGGAATGGAAGTTGGTTTAAAAATGGCTCAACGAAGAGTCGAGGGTTTGGTTGAGAATGGAACCATCTTGACGACGAATCAAGGGTTAGGTTGTAAGAAACGATGCTAGTCCTTGAGGGTGCTCCTAATAATGAAACCACGATGAAATTTGAAAGTGTGTGCAATAGGTTAATGGTGAATACGGACGAGCACTCGACTTACAGAGGGTGTTTGAAAATGGCTTGATGAAGAATCGAGAATTAGTTTGAAAACGGTTTAGTCTACGTTTGTCCCTAAGGGTGCTTCTAGAAGATAGACCACAATCAAAGAAGTACGAATGCGTACATCGGAATGGGAGAGGGGTACCTGAAAGTTACACGAGATTGCACAAATTAAAAGGGTTCATTGTCAGGTAGCTCAAGAGGAAGCTGTGTGTGTGCGAAGTGTCCTAAACTAAACCTTGAGCAAAAGTCGGACAAAACTCCAAGCTATGGTTTCTGACAAAGTCCGATAATCCAACAGTCCCCAAATTTAGGCTTTTATTGTTTCGATAATTGTTAAGTGTTTTCGGAAGAGTGTAAATAAAAGATGAACAAGATACATATGAATATGGACAATTATGAATAATATGACAAGATATATGACAATATAATCAAGTTAATATTCATAATAATATAATCGAGATAATATTAACAAATATATGGACAAGATAATAAAATGAAGATAATATTGACCGAAAGTAAAACAATTGTATATTGACTGAAAAGTAAAATAAGAATATGTTAACGGAAAGTAAAGGTTAGTCGTTAGTTGATTTGTGAATTTGAATCGAGACGAAATGCAGCACTAAATCGTCGTAGCTCGATTTATGACGAAAGTCAAACTATAGGAGGTTGCACGAGTTGATATCCGTGCTAAAAACAAGATAAAGAAATGATATTGAGGATCATTCTCCAATGTAATCGTGTCACACGAACTTAAAAGAAAGGGGGGATCTCGTTTTAATCATAAACTCGTGTCGATTAATCGAAGGTAGCCTATCACGATCCCAAAGTATAGGAAATGATCCCAATGATTATTTTCTATAGATTTGACATAATGAAGGTTATCAACCTCGATAAATCAATATTTACGAATCTAAAGACTTCATCGATTGAAATTTGAAAAGAAAATAGAAGAAGATGAAAATCAAAGTAGAAACGAAAGAATACAACAGTACATAAACTAAATGTCTAACAAAACCTCTAATAAAGTATTTAACAAAATAACAAATAAAGATTATGAACATAATTAAATATAAAATAAAATAAACAATAAATTTAACAAACATTATTAAACTAAATAGAACAATTAAGATAGACCAAAAGTAATTAATGTTTGGGGGTGCAGTAGGAACAAGATGGGTGTATAAGATCAAAAGAACAAGTGAAATCATCATGGGGCTAATGGCCCATTCATCGACAAAGAAGAACAAAAATTGGTAGACTGAAAAAGGAAAACGAGGTGTGAATGTAGAAAAGGGACACAAGCTTTAACGAAAGCCCAATGGCACCTCCACCACAAAAGTCCACAGAACAAGACTTAAGAGAAAAAAAATAACAACCTCTTCTTAGAAAACCTAAACGCTCATTTTCAGAAAAACAAAATAATGAAAAACAATTATTCGTTTAGGATTGTGTATCATCATCGCGTATCCATCATTGTTAAATGAAAAAGAAAAAATTGAAAAGAGAAAAACAACACATTCAACCTTCGCACGCGTCTGTCCGTCTCGATTCAGTTTCCGCAATTTGGTTCAGGTTTACGATTTTGTTTCGATTTCATTTGTCTCGTTCGTCTTTCTTCTCATACTTCTTCAAATCGTGTTTCTGTTTCTCTCTCTCAGTCTCACATCTCGCTCGTGTTTTGTTTATGGTTTTGAACACAGGTTAAAAAAAGGTTTGTAGAAGTTGTTGAAGAAGGTTTACGGTTTATGGTGGATTTAGTTGTTGCTGTTTTGAGGGACGGGTTGAAAAGAGATAAAAGCTTGAAAATGGAAGGAGAAGGTGTGGTTCTGTTGGGTTGAAGAAAGGTGAGGTTTTGAAGATTGATTGAGTGAGAGGTTAAAGAACGATGTGTGAAGTTTGAAGGAGAAGATTTGGAATGGATTCAGTTGTGATTTTGGCTCAAAATCGATTCCCCCAAAACAAGAGTAAGGAGGGATCTGTTTACAGCATTTTGTGGTGAGTTTAAATTCTAAAAAAATGTTGTTGCCTCCTTTCCTTGCATTTTGGTGGGGTATCATTTATAGTTGTATGAAGATGGTTTTGGGTAGCAGGTTTTTGTGGCCGTTGTGCAATGTATTATGGTTTTGCTTTGAAGCGGTGTGTAATGGATGAAGGCTGAATCGAGTACAGTTTGGCTAATAATGATACAGTTTATGGATCATGTGGAATGACTCCCTTTTAATTTTATTCTGCAGGTCGTAATTTCTTTTGCAACTTTCCTGTTTAGAAATTGTTGGTGTGATTTAGTGGTAGCTTCTTTGGTCTTGACATTGAGATTCATGGGCCATGTATCCTTCTTATCTTTGACACTTGTAATGAACTTGGTAATTGGATTTGTAATGTAATTGTAAATGGGCCTTGATGAGCTTTTGTGAATTGATCTCTTTATTTTGCAATGTTTTCATGAGCAATAAAACTTTGGTAATGTTGTAATGAGTTTCTTTATTTTTCTTTGCAATTTTGTAAGACAACATGACCAATAGGCCTTGTGCCATGCTACTTGAATTTACACCTTTGAATTTTGATCCATGTCTAAAATACCTTAACCATAAAAAAAATGTTGCAAATAATTCTTGATTAAAAACTATGGCATTTAGACTTGAATTGAAAATCAACCTTGAAACCATTAGTCATGAGATAATGACCATGAGACAATATGGATCTTCAAATTCATTAGAGCCTTGAAAACATAAGAACATGACTTAAAGCATGAATTACATCATAACTTGTTCCAAAAATCCTGATTGAAAAGGAACTAATCCCTGATGATCCTTAACCATGAAACACTTGATTTCAACATAGTCATATAACTTGATCCATACACAGTTGACCTGACTTGGCACAAAACTATGATTGAAAGTTCGGACGCACACCTCTTGAACCCTGCATATCCTGACTTTAATACCCTTTAAATGAAAACTGGACTTAGGCAACAACATATTTTTTGGGATCTTTTGAATAATGGCTAGTGGATGAATGCACAGATGAAGGGATATACAAGTAGGACAAATTTGGGGTATGACACACGTATGTAGGTCCCGACTTCAACTCGGCCACATCAACCTCGTTTCCTTCGACATGGTTATATTCGACATTTGACCTTTGGTCATTGTCATCCATGTTGACGTAGCCACTCGATCCTTCTTACTTTTGTTCACTCTAGCTTTCTCAGCCTTCAACCATTTGACTTGTTGAACTCTAACCACTAGTTGGGCCATATCCCTTAGATATTGTGTATCCAATTTATTTCTAATAGAATAATCTAAGCCCCCAGCTACCATCTCGTCTAGTTCGTGCTCAGGCACTTGGGTAAAGCATCTCGTTTTCAATAGTCATAAACTATTTAGGTAATTGTCGATCGATTCAACAAACTTTCTCTTCACACTTGACAACTCTTTCAGACTAATTTTAGATTTTCCCATATAGAGTTGTTCATGGAACAATCTTTCTAAACGAGCCCAATCATTAATGGAATGTACAAGGAGCGTCGTAAACCAAGTAAATGCATTTTTGTGAAAGAACTAGGGAAATATCTCATCCTCAAATTCTCATTGTTTGCTATATCCCCCAGTTCAATTAAATATCGAGCGATATGTTCGATTGTAGATTCATTAGTATCACCAGTGAATTTAGTGAGCTTATGGACCTTCCATCCCCTTAGAAGTTCAGTATGTAATTCATATTCCAACAACGGAGACGTATAATTTGGTCTTTGCATGCCTAAATTCATACCATTTTGCACCATTATCCTCTCAATCATGACCGCAAGATTATTCTCGCCTACCAGGTTTTCTTGTTGGACTTGTTTGACCACTTGGTCGGCATCTTGGTTTCGATTAACCACTAAAACTATCAAGCGACCGACTTCTCTAGGCCTTTCTTGTTCGACTACATGGGGAACAAATTATTGGCCCTGATTAACTGTGTTTTCTTTAAGGCTCATTCCCTCGTCTTGAATAGGCCTAGCCACTTGGGGTTGTACAATTGGTTAAACATGCGTTTGAGGGGCACCAAAGAAATCAACGATTCGATCATTTGAGTCGCCAATAATTGGTAACTCTGATTCGTATTTTGAATCAAATGGTTGAAAATATTACCCATTTATTCGGTAATCAAGTTAACCATATCATGGTTACTTTCGACCATTTGTTGTCTCATCGCCATCACAAAATTTACGGTGAATGTCGACATTGCTTGGGAACCAAATCCAATCCCTAATTGGGGCTGCATGGTTCGATCATGGTTACCTATAGCCGATCTTGACGCCAATAGTGGCGAATATGCAATCATCGCGTTGTTAATAAATGTCGAAGCATTCGTATGCAAGTTTGCCATTATTGATGTTAGCATGCCATAAGGTTGTTCACGACTAGGCATATGCATTGTGAAACTTGTGGCGAAAGGCCTGAAGTCACTTGCCATAGTCAGTCTATTAGTTACAGGGTGACTCCGTGTCATTGAGGGAGAAAATATCACCCTTCTTATGCAATAGAAGATATAACTGTCATTGATAGCATGTTCGTCATATTGGCTATGGAGGAGACTGGTTCAATCAAACTTGCAGCGACCGTTCCTACCCCGTGCTATTGGATGACTGTTCTCCATTGTTATTGTTTTTGGGATTAACCGTTCTCCTAACTTATATCCTTGTTGGTTTTCTAACGTCTTTTTTGTTTATCCTACCACTCCCCAACCTCATGCATACTCATAAATTTGAGAAGTTTCAAATGAAGAAGTTATGCAAATTAAAAAGAACGTAAATTTTTACACAAAAAGGTCCCACTGGGCGTGCCAATTTGTTTACTGTGAACTTTTGGTAAACAAAAACAAGTTTCATTTTACTTAAGGGATTAAACTTGAAAAGATCCCATGACATATTGTGCAAAAATCATAAGTTTGAAATGAATTTGACATCATAGTTGAAATTGAATGAAAATGTAAAAATAACTTTGAAAGCAATAAATGACTTGAAAATAAATAGTTCAATTCAAAAAGTGGAACACAAATACATACATTCTCACAACTCTTTTCTCATCAAACACATATACTTTGAGTTTACAGAATTTGTGTAAAATTGTGGGTCCCTAAAGTTACAAGTGAACACTACTATATAGTGGTCCTAACATAATTGTCTACAACGGTCGACTAAGAAAATTATGCCACTTCTTCGTCTCCATGCAAACTTCTATTTCAACAAGCTTCCACGTGTTCTTAGATAACTGTCTGATCTTATCCACTTACACCTCGTTCAACCGCATGGATAACAACAACACTTTTGGAAACTCCAAATTCACTAAGTCTCAAAAAACTAACAAATCCTTTGTCTTTAACCAACTGCTTGAAAACTCGACCAAAGTTATCACTATTTTTCGACAAGACAAGTTCGCCAAAATATCCATGGTCATAACTGATCATTTCAACCTAGGTAATAAACCTAACATCAAACAAATAAAAAACTTATCAAATTCTTATAATCAAGGCTTATGTCAAAAATTCGAGCTAACAGTTGCTCGTTGTGCATTCTTTGCACCTTGGATAAGAGGATTCACTCCGTTCTTGATCACTTTAAGACCATTTTGGTAGGCAAACAACACTTTCATTTGTTTGCACCATTTTTTATAATTCTTCGCATCAAGTATATGTAGGTTTACATAGATTTTTTCATTGGAGACCTCATTCATGTTACACACTAGGTGTTTATGGATCATAATTAGGTTCTTGGTGTCAAATGTTAGAACTTAAAACCACAAAACTGGTGAATAATGGCAAAATTAGAGTGTGAAAAGGGAGAGAGAAATTAAGGGAGGGAAATTGATTGATGGTGAGAATATTTCCGTTATCTTTCATTAACCATAACAATGGTACCTCTAAAGTATTAATACAAGTGATTGAGATACAAAACAACAAGTCAAATAATAGAAAAGACAAAAAATCGTACTTATAACCAATTACACTAAATTTGTAATTAATTATAATTGTTACAACAACTAAATCTATTCAATTGTAACCAATTACATTAACCGATTATGTTCACAATAAATCTTCAATTTCTTCCGTTCAAAAATGATTTTTTGTCAACTGGAACCGATTTCACTCTTGGAATAATGAGTTACAACATTTGAATTATATATAAAAAAAAAACTCTTCAAAATTACTCGCGTTATTCCAAATTTACACATTACCCATAATTCAAACCTAATAACAACCATTAAAATTGAGTCTTTGTAGACCGCATTCATCACTAGTAGTCAAGTAGACCATATCTGCTTTATCATGGTTAATAAAGAACAATTGTAAATTTCATTTTAGACACTACATCAACCAAACCATTTATTTCTATTTTAGAATAATTTGATTCATTCTCATTAAAAAATCTAACATTAATTTTAAATGTTTACCCTAAAAATTAAGCTAGCTTCCCCACCTTCACTAACCAATATCTACCCCCCACCAAATAAGCAAAAGACTACTCTATTAAAATATATTTCAAAGCACCATTGGTCTAGTCAAACATAATTCCGAGTATAAATAATCCCAACCCTTCTTCCTAGTAAGAAATCATTTGAACATAAACATGCAATATGCCGAATCCATTTGGCCTAGTAGTGACAAACATTTAATCCAACTTGCACCAAACAATAATGATTCCAACAACCTCAATTCTTCTCCAACTCTCTCGTCCAATCACACATTACTGTCAAAATTTAACAAAGATTAAACGAAGAAGAATCTTTGCCACAGTAACCAAGCCTCGTGCAGTAAAACGAGTAAATAACTCAACAAGGCGTGATTGATCGCAACTTGCATGCCAACTTGCAATGCCGTCCATCATTTCCAACAACTCTTCATAGTTGTGTCTTTGTGTCTTTCCATCTATCAACTAGCTATCTATAACAACAATAAACACAAGGAAATTATGAGAGTATATTAACAACTTGACATTGTTTGTCTAACTAGTTGATGTATCATATATGTCCCATACAAGATTCTAGGTTTAGAGGGTTGTTTCTTTCACCAA